AAAGCATAGAGGGCCATTTAGCAGAATGGCAGAACGGTAAGTAGAGGTACGTACAGTATCTTGAAGCATATTTTGCTGTTTGTTTAAAACAAAACTCTCTATTTAACAAGGCCACCAGGAGTTTTCTTTAACTTGTTGGAACTAACAGTTCTTGAATGCTTGAAAACCACCTGATGCTGTAGCATGGCATAATAAGAAAAATAAGCCGGATCGCGCCCTTCTGTCGAAGGGATTTTTCCGTTCACGAGTGGATCGTCCGCCTCTGACAACATTTTTGCTCGGTAATCTTTTTTATTCTGAAATTAACCTAAGTTAAAAAGAAAGGTCTTTGTTTTAAGAATGGACTTTAATGTCGTGTAACTATCACGTGTTACACTCTGATCTTTTTACCACGTACTCATTTTGCACATCATTTCTTTTGCATATCTGATATCGAGGTTTTTAAGGAATTTATTAAAGAATTTATTGTTCTCCCAAATAAGATAAGAAGATTGTCGTACACTTGTGTTCTATATTTTCGATAAAAGAATATTTTATACGTACTGTAAGCTCTTGTATTCTCAAGGTTTGTTAAACATTGAATGACCAACGAATTATAACCGCGCGACGATTTTTCGACCTTCCCAACATTGGTTGAGATCGGAATATGTCTTATTTGTTAGGGAAAATAGGTTGTAGTGATTAGGATTAGTTTAACCTATAACTATCGCTATCCAAAGTGATTATCGTTATCGTTATGCAATCCTTTGTGACACGTTTTTGGTTACATACTAAAAAAACAATACATTTGATCACCAACTATTATTGGAAATTTCTAGTGTTAAATTAATTTCTAGTAGGTTCAATTTTTGGTGTTCTCATTTTTTCTAGCACATTCTATATCTAATTATTTATTAGATATAAAAAATCTCATTTCTTACTTTATTTATCCATCTTCTTTTAACAAATAATCATGCCTATTCGCACATATTTTGACATTGATATCGATGGCCGGCGTGAGGGCCGAATAGTTTTTGAATTGGTAATAAAATATTTACAGTAACTCTTGAAATTTAATATAAAGGGTACAGTATGACTAAAGCAACCATATGTACAGTTCGATAATGTTGTACCAAAAACAGCAGAAAATTTTCGTGCACTTTGTACAGGTAAAATCGAACTTAGAATTTCAGTAGATCACATGACCTTATAAGTGGGCTCAATTTATTTTTATAGGAGA